TTGAATGCCATGGGTCTCAATGGAACTCAAAATCACATGAAGTTTTTCGGCTGCTACATTACACTACTAACTCACATTGGGCTTGCAATACATTACCTGGAACCTCCAATTTTTTTTTCCAGAACCATTAATGTTTAACCTTGCCTCCCCCTTCTTAGACTAATAAGTATCATTTTTGTACCCACGTATAAGCCTTTACATATATATCTATTGAATTTCATTTTATTAGATTCAACACAATGGTCCAGCTTGTCAAAATGTTAGAATTCTGAGTTGCATTCCAATGTAGCTTCCAGATTCATGTCATTTATAAGACTTGCAACAATGACAATGAAATATTAACAATTATTCTTCATGTCCAGTGATCCAACTAGTTCTAAATCCGTCTAATTTTATCATCTGATCCATATCACTCTAATTTCTCATAAAATGGTATCAGAATGTTTTTTTTCTCTGAAATATAATCCTACTAGAATTTGTTAGTTGTAACTGGACAGAAATAGTTCCTCTGTATATTTTAACCTGGGGTCCAGAAATCCAAATCCCATTTTCAGATGCCACTTTCTTAGCCAGCTGTTCACTGGATAACAGTGAGGAAAATACAACCATAAATCCTTAGTTTTCAGTTTCTTGCCCAAGATTCATAATAATTTATACAATGTTTCAGATTATTTCTGCCTGTGTCATTTGAATGCATTCATCATTTTGTTGTTTAAAAAATATTCAATAAGGAGTCATAATTTAATTTTTAATAATTCAAAACATTTAATTCCTTATAAACCATTTTCTATAAAGAAAATAGCAAATACATATAAAAGAAAATATTTTATATTAAAGCAAATAATTCAAAGCAACCCTATTTATCATTTTAGATGAGTCAAACAGTAAAAATCTGATTCTTTTAACAGAGCTTTTGATTGTTGGATATTAACTTCAATTTTCAAGTTCATTCATTTTAAGCTTAAAACCAAAAAATGATTCAAAAGAAGAAATTTTGAAATGTTATTCCTTGACAAAACAGCTATGTTTTTAAACTTCAAATATTATTGCTAGTCTCCATCAAATTATGTTTGGATTTTATTTGCAAGAAATTCTGTCACAATATCATCAAGCCTTCTCTGTTTTTCCTGAAGAATTTTCAGTTTCATTACTTTTTTTGGGGGGGGGCAAGGCAATGGGGTTAAATGACTTGCCCAGGTCATGCAGCTAGTAAGTGTTAAGAGTCTGAGGCCAAATTTGAACTCAGGCCCCCCTGACTCCAAGACCTGAGTTTTAGCCACTGTGCGATCTAGCTGCCCATTCATTACCTTTTGTTCCAAATATCCCTTATTAATTTCTAAGATATAACTGCCAGTTTCTTTTCTATTACTAATTTTCTGAACATCTTAAAGAAATGATGTAATTATATAGTAAAATCTGAAGTAATATCTCTTATGACTCAACCAAAATTTTCACCTTTGTAATAGGAACATGAAATTCAGCATCAAACATATAAAGTGCCTATACCACATGAATGGTGTAACTATGTCAGTATAGTATTGAAGCTATCTCTCTGCTATTCCTTACTTGTTATATGGCTGAAGTGATTCCTTTTCCAATCATTGATAATTTATTTTAGGTCTTTTAAGACAGTCAGCATTAACAACTTTTTATTTACATTAATCACGCATAGATACATAAATAACCTTTTGAGTTATTTACAATTTTTATTTTTCTTATATATGATCAACAATTATAAAGAAGCTGTGTTTAGTGGGAGTACACCAAATCAGTGGTTATGTGAGCAACTCTATTTCATAATTTGATATATCTCTCAGAAGTGGAATTATATAGTAAATGAATAATATATTTGGAGTCAGAGGGTCTAGGTTCAAATCTCAGTTCTATCTCATATTAATTGTGCAATCCTGGGAAAATCACTTAAGCTCTTTAAGATTTGGTTTTCTTATCAGGAATATGTGCAGGTTTGAAAAGATGACCTCCAAGATACCTTTAAAAGCCAATTCTAAGATCTATGATCTACTTTCCCCACCCCCTGCATATTGGTAGGCAGATCTCCTTTAAATGAATATGAATTTTTTACTGATGGTTACTCTGAAAGGTTGATTCAGTGATTTGTGAGTGCCTGCATAAAGCCTACATTCATGAGACTGTAAGCTCCTTGAAAGTAGGGAGCAGCATTTTGTTTCCTTGTTTTTATATTTCTACCACTTATCACAGTGCCTGGTACATTGTAAGTGATTAATAAATGCTCCAACTATCTATCTATCTATCTATCTATCTATCTATCTATCTATCTATCTAGCTATCTATCTGCCTTTGTAGTCTTCCAAGGTTAGAAAAAGATAATACAATATCATTTCCAAATAAGATCATTTTGTAGATGATAATGCCTTTCTATTTATATTTTGCATAAGATATCCTTCATAATACTGTCAAAATGTTTCCAGTAAGCGCATATTTCACAATTTTATGTCTTAATGTGGACATTCAGAGGATCATTGAACAAAGTTCAATGTAGATAAAGTTTGCATTGGCCATAGAATCTTATCTGGTTCTAACATGTACATGAATGATGTGATTCAAGAACTTTTAACCCTGTGTTGTCATACCAAGTGAGAAAAAATCAACAAACAATAGACATAGAAGTCTACTAAAACTGTCTCCTATAAAAATTGCTTATGAAAGCTTACTTATTCCCTACTTATCATTTAACAAATAACAACCTCAATCATCCTAATTAAGATTTTAAATATTGGCTAAAATCATTATGGTCACTGTTTTTTTTTTTTGTATTTATAAAAATTTTATTTCTACTTTTTCTTATAGAGCCTAGAAAATTGAAACCTGAATGCCTATTACACTTATGTTGGTTCCAACATGGCTTTCATCTATGTGTATAGTCAGATACAACTGCTTTTCATAGTTTCTTTTAAGCATATCATGCAATGAAGAAGTAGAGTAGTGGTTACAATATCATTGCTGATGGGAATTCAACGCCATGGAAACACCAGAAGATATGCTTTACTTCATGTTTATTTGTTATTCTCCTTCCAATTTCATCTAAAAATGTTCTTGGTATAAAAGTATTGCAGAAGCTATTTAGGAAGCTTGGTAGAGCTTGCTAGGTGCATAGCTTGAGGGCCACATGCAAAGACTGGAAAGCTAGAAATTACATTTAGCACTTTTATCTAAGTTAGACTTTTGTATTCCACCTGTGCTGACAAAATATATATGTAAGAATGGATCTTGAGCCAGTTCTAATCTGTATAAGGGACTGGGGAGGAAGAGTGTAGGAGGGCAACTAGTAAACACTCATCTTTTCATTTCTAAGAATGGTAAATTTCCCAGCACAAAAGTAAGTCTATAGTTCTAGAAGTTCATTTTAATCTCTAAAGGTTAAATTGTTACTGACTACATCCTTCCTTTATTCTGATTGAAGACTAAGTTAGAAGAGGTGCTTTTGAACTATACCATAACAGATTTGAGAGACATTTGATTAGGAAAAAAAGGTAAATAATTCTTAGTATTACTTTATGTGATTTAAATGTAGGCTAGTGGGATGACATAAAATGTAGATAGACGTTATTTAAATATGAAAAAATCTTTGGCTTCATCCCTATCTTACATCTTGACTTTCCTATTTTATTCAATGATCTCCATATAATCATATAGTCTCACAATTTACTATGGTCATGAGATTTATTACATATAATAAAAATACAAGGAAAATTCCAAGGGACTACAAGATTTCCCCCCTGCAACCATTTCCAGAAACATCCTTCTGATTGCCTTCCCAGTTTTTCTTAGGGGTAATGGGGAGAATACTCGTTATGACACATCTATTGAGGCATGAGAAATGACAAGGTAATGGACTACATTTCTAAGACTCTAACCACTTCTATGACACTTGGATTCAGGTCCCATATAGTGAAAGCAAAGGGACATGGGAAGGGACAATTCACCCCTGACCTAACACTGGATTTTCAACAGGTACCAGTCAAATCCTGCTCTGGCCTCACTTCCACAGCACTGATCTCCAAAAGTCTTCTCTAGACCTGGACCAACCTAAACACTGATTTGAGAATTCTTCCAGATGTGGTCTCTGTTCTTAAGGAGCACTGCTGGTCGTCTAAGAGAGAGAAACAACCAGCAACCTAGGAGTTTGACCTTAAAAGTCCACCACTGTGGGACATGTGATGGGCAGGGATCCAAAGTCCCACTGCTGTCTGCTCCCTGCACACCCAAAATGGTGGGAAAAAATGTGGAAGTCTATCTCAAGGAAATAAAGTAATTCCTTTCACAAAATTAATAATCATTGACCCTTATGGCTTATGAAGAACTTCAGTATGACCTCAGTGGCTCCTTGTCTCCTCACCCTACATTGACAATAGAAAACAACTCTCAAGGGCCAAGAAAAGGAAAAAGGGAACCCTGAAGCCCTTACAGTGCTTACACACAGATTTTATCACTTCTTTATGTCTTACCAATGTTACCACTTCTCAAAATTTCTTCAGTCCACACAAGAGTCAAATACCATTGCAGATATCCAATACATACGAATGTTTCTCCATGTATTTTATAAAAATCATTAGAAAACTATTAAAAGTATAGTTTTATAATATGCTTACTCTAAATAAAGATTAATTTTTATTTCTCTTTAGCAGATTATGAAAATATAACCCAAGAAGGCAAAAAGATTGATTAGATAGAGTGGGGAAGAATTAGACAGAAGCCATTTATCTTTTCATTTTAGGTGAGTTTTCCCTATATCCATCTTTCTTGATAGCTATAATCATAATATCATCCTTTCATGTATATTGTCCTTTGAAAACTAAATATATATAATTAAATTAAATGTCTGAAACATTGATTCTGGAGAAAAAAAACCAACTCTTTTTCAAATAAAGAAACAATATCTGGTGATTCTTTGCATGTTTACATTTCTAAAACTTTGGTGAAATGAGGTAACATTAAAAGATAATAATGAAAATACTTACGCAAATGAGGGTTTACAGGAGCTAAATAAAAGAAAAGAAAAAAATTAAGTTAACACAAATTTAAGGAATTCAGAAAGTGAAAGAATAAGCAATTCTTCCTAATCTATCAGTGTCTCTGGCCAAAGTACTTAATGATCTTCCAAACTCCAGTCCTATTGAATTTTGTGGTACCTGTCTTGTTCCATAAGATTCAACGATAATATTCTTAAGTAACCCCAAAAGATAATTATTGTATAGCATGGGCTTTTTCACTTCCAAGTATAGTACTGAAGTGGAGTACTGAAATATCCTTCAGGACTCTAATCCATTTTAATCATATGCTCTGAAATTAAAACTAGGGTAATATCTTACTAGCAACATATTAAAATCTAGATATTTTAACCATGAAAATAATTCTTAGACATATATTTTGCTACAGTTTTTTTATTTGCTATCTGCTTACTTTGAAAATAACCTGGAATATAATGGAAATAAAATCAATGTTCCTGAGTATGTGGATACAAAAATATTCTGTAGCTTTCCTCTTGAAATTATACTTTATTTTAGCCATTCAGAACTGTTCATGGTTTATAAGCAATAAATATTAGGTTTTGCATAAAAGAAGTGATTTTTTTCAGGAAACCAATAGGATTTATATCATCTTTGAAGGCACAAATTAGATTTTAGTATGAATATGGAATAAGAGTTTAGAACTCATTTTTAAAATATAAATTATTTAATCTAGGAAATGTATATATGTACATATACATGTATATATACACATATATACAAATGTAGAGAATACCATGTACATATACATATATGTACACATATATATACACAATATTTACAACAACATATACACAACAAATACATAAAATCTGTAATTTACATATCTTGTATTTGAAATATATCAAAGAAGAAAGATATATGTATACTCTCTCTACTCAAAATATTTCCTACTTCAAGGAAGCTCATGAATATATAAACTTATAGAGTACTGTTTTCAGAATTTGAAAATTGAGAAAGAATCATATAGAAAAATGCGTGCATGTTTGCTTGTGCATAAGGTTGTATTTGTCATTTTGTGGGACAACTCCCGTCTAATAAAGAAATCTTTACTATGAGGTCTAAAGGTCATAATGACATAATTCTATCACTTTCTTTCTTTTCTAGTTAATATCTGGATGATACCTATTATGATTTGCAAACTAAATATGACTCTTGTTAGTACATTTTCTCTACATATGAGTTATATTTATTTGTAATTGGTTTGAATGTATACATGATATGTCAATCAATCAATATTTGGTAAGCACTTACTATGTTCCAGGCATTGTGGTAAGCACTAGGGATACAGAAAAAGAGGCAAAAGACATACCCTGTCCTCAAGGAGCTTACAACTTAATGGAGAAGACATGTAAATACACACACACACACACACACACACACACACACACACACACATATATATATATATATATACACATACACACAAATATACATATATTATTAGATGGAGACTCATTAAAATATATGTTGAACAATAGTTTTTCCTGTTGCTTTTAAGTGAAAATATTTATATACAGAAGATATTTTGTTTTCTATTGGTCTGCATTGTCTTTATATTCTACTTTCTCAGTTTTAAAATTCCAAAACCAAAGTTAAAAAGAGAACTATATAGAATCTATAGTTGCATGAAATTCATTGAAGTAAGGGCTATTTATGTAGATAAAAGGATGCAAAAAATGTATCCCTTCTTCAAATATAAGAATATATTTCAAATATAAAAAACATTTAAATTATGAATTTTATATGATCTTTCTTTGATAAAAGGATGGTTATATGAAATATATATCTATATATCTACATCCATATCAATCTATATATCTATATCTATCTATCTATCTATCTATCTATCTATCTATCTATCTTTTATTTTGGGGAAAAAAGCCACATCTAAGTAAGCATTTCTTTATGCTTAAAGATAAGTTTTTTTATTGGAACATTTTAAAATTTTGTTTTATTAGCAGTAAAATTATTTGTAATTGATATTATAAGTCAGACAATGAATTCAATTTCCTCATTAAGATGAATGAAAATGTAACTATTTCTCATTCTCTTGCATAATACAAAGTTTACTTCATCAAGAAATTCTCTGAATTCTTAATGTTTAAGGGATTCTTTTGTTCTAATCTACATGAAGTATGAATATATTATAGAAATTAATGGCTTATTACTAATTACTGTCCTTATAGAATAGACAATCACTGTTTAAGTTTTATTCAATTTAAGAGAAAGGCTTGATGACTGATATAGCCTCCTGATTACACAAAAGCATAAAAATCTCATAAATAGATAATATTCTACAGACTTAATAGCTATCCCACTGCCATGTGCATCAACACATGTTCCTGACTGGGTATATTTCCATATGCAGATAAGATTAGCTGCAGACAACTGAGCCACTGCTTCATTTCAGATATTTGCTGAATTTCTTTCCTATGCCACTGTAAATAAATGCCCTTTTGTGAAATGCTATATGGTATACAAGCATCTCATTTCATTCTAAACCCAAGCCTGAACCTCAGTATCAGCCTGAATTAGGCCTGGTCAACATTTGGCACAGTTTGAAGGATTGGATTGGAATGATCTCATTGCTGATCACATACTTGAAATAATTGTAGAAATGATTATAGATTGATAACAGATGTAGAGCAGAAACAGAGCTGGAACAGAGTTTAGAGACTATCTAGTCCAAGGGTGGGGAACCTGCAGCCTGGAGGCCACATGTAGCCTTCTAGGTCCTTAAATAGCCCTTTGACTGAATCCAAATTTCACAGAACAAATACTCCAGGTCACAGATTTCCCATCCCAATCTAGTCCGATCTGCTTTTTTTATTTTCCAGAAAAAGAAAATGAAACTCAAAGACACTAAATTACTTGCCTATGATCACACAGATATGAAATGACAATAGGCAGGATTTGAATAGAGGTCCTCTGATTCCAAGGCCAATACTTTGTCCACTGTACCACAGTGTAATAGGAGTAGTATTTCCTATGTTACACAGGCTACTTTTTCGTAACCACATGAAAGTAATGCTAGTTTTTTTCTTTAAGATGTATTAAAGTTATCCTTGATGCTTTATTGGTTAAGGATATTGTCTCAGGTTGTTGATGTAGTTTGTTGTTTACCAGTATAGAAAAGGTATAGTATAGAAAAGAGCCTCAGTTTCCATGTTGATATTTCTGACATTAGACAAACTGTATGAACAATACCTGGAAGTTTCACTCAAAATGGACTGACTGAATATCCCTATTAAATATCTTCCTCCTGCTATAGATAAGTAAACCTTTTTATATTGAATATTAGAAGAATTGTGAGCAACTCGTTTCATTCTAATATCAGATATAAACTACCACGAACAGTTTTATTTTCACTTGGGAAGGAGTACAACATAACTTCACCATCCTTCTCCAAAGCTAACTGAATTCTCATTAAACTGCCATATTCTGGTGAGTAGAGACTCTCTATTGGTGTATATATACCACTACATTGATGAAACAATGTTGAAGCAATCTGTGAAAAAAGGCATAGATCAGATGGCAGTCCATATGAGGAAAAAGGGGTGAGAAATCAATCCTAAGAAAATTCAGAGTTAAACTCACTCAACAGAATTTTGGGGAATACAGTGAGTAAGGAAAACCTAGAGGATTCTAGACACAGGCCAGAATAAGCTATCGAGTTTCCCTAGGATCTTAGAAGGAATTCCAGAGACTTATTGGATTCTAGATTTTGGAAAACTCACATTCCCTACCTTGATATCCTGATAGCCCCTATTTGGCAAGTCACTCACAAGTGACTTCCAAGCGGGACCCAGAATAGGTTTCAGACCTGGATGTTGTAAAGTAATCTGTTAAGCAATCTCTTCTCCTGGGTTCTTGTGACCTTGTAAGGCCCATGTTTCTAGAGGCCTCTGCCCATAAAGACTAGCCTTTGGCAGTCACCAAGAGATCTACCAGATCTACTGTTAGGTGTCTGGAGGTTCAAATATAATATTAACTGGGCCAGATGAGAGGTCATGGTGACAAAAGCCATATATAAATAATGTCCCATATAAAGGTAGGTGAATAACTTTAAGAATGATCCAGGATCTCAATCAGGATTTTTAGAATACTGGATAGAAAGAATGAGATGATTACATATGCACTATGTAAGCTATGCTCACAAGCATAGCAGACATTGGCAGTGGGCAGTAACAGCCACCAACATGTAGGATGTGGTAGAAGCAACTAACTGCATAAGGATTCTATCTTGCAGGCTAGGCTACTACCTTTTTCTCTACAAAGGAACAAAATCACCTTGAGATTTAATTGAGCCAGGAAGCAAAGGCTTAAACAACTAATGTAACTTCCAAATCACTTAAGCCATAAAAAGTTCATCATGTATATAGTATTCCTCAGACTTGATGGATGTTTCACTTCCATGCAAGTCAATGTACCCTTCTGATTAAGTGTGTTTCCATATGAAGGTGAGAAGAGCCGTGTCCAACTGAACTAATGTCATAATTTGCTGAATATCCTACTCATAATATAGTCAAACAACATTTGCTTAACGCAATGTTATATTACAGACAAGTATTTCATTTTATTCAACAAATAAGTCTGAGTCAGGTCTGGGAAAACTGCCAATAGTCTACACTTCATGCTATAAATACTGAAAGAAAAACACTAAGTTCAAATTATTTTTTATTATTGCTTTTTTCATGTTCTATTTCACTCTGATCTCTCAGAAGAAAAATTGCCTAATTAAAAGGAATGATTAAAGAGGTAGCACATGGATCATTACCCTACTTGCTAAATGTACAATTATACCACCAAGCATAAGAAATGTCTTTTTTAGTGTATTAGTATAGTTGATAGATGAGGTCATATAGTAGGAAGATACTGATTTGGGAGTCTGGACACCTAGGTTGCATATCTGATTGGACTTAGTGACCTCCAAGGTGCTTCCAGCTCAAAAATTATGTTATTCTATGATA